GTGTTTAAAATTTAGGAAAATGAAGAGTACTTAGTGATTAGTTTCTTTATACAGCTCTCAGTTGTTGAAAGCCCCACCCCACATAGTGGTAATTGAGAGACCATCTTCTTGTCGGCTTACAATGTTGAAGGGACACCCCCCACCAAGGCTATTTTTTGATGTGTGGGACATTCTGTCTTTCAGTGCTGGTTTCTCCTTACAGGGTCAGACGAATCTCGCGTCGCCTTTAGCTTCTGAGAGGCAACTAGGCCTGACACCATGAAGGGCAGACTTGGGATTAGTTGTCACAGCAAGAGTACGAGAACCAGGTAGTTCATCTGACTAGTAAAAGTTAGAGGTTAACTGGTCAGAAACGTTTTCGCAGCGACAGTCGCCATCTGAGCATTATTGAATAGCAATGAAGGGGAGGGCGTTCTCAGGGTTGCTTGAGGGCGCGACAGCCGTGAATTCTCGGGTGTGACGGGTGTAAATGTGTGAGTGTAGGAATGAAGCAGGGAGTTTGTGAATCGGTGCATAGATTGGATTGGGCTTGGCTTGAACAGGGGTGTGAGTGGAAGAGGAAATACAAGGTTAGATAAATGGTGGTAGTAAAGGGAAGGGGTGGTACCTTTTAAAGATAAAAGTTGACATTTGCAGGAAGAAAGAACTATTAAATGTTCTAAGGAAGATTGACAAGATTAAATTAGTTGATTTTTAAGGGAGATTAACAGAACTTTGTAGTTGCATTCTCTAAAAATGTTTTCCAAATATTAATACATCCATTAGACATGTTGGCTTTTATCCCTTTTGCTCCATATCTTATGTGGCTTACCATAGCCTGTGTGATGCAAACTTAGCAACGTACTTTGGTTTCTTCAGATTCTCTCCCAAAGTGGTTTTTTTTTTTTTTGGAAGACATACTGGTTATTTATTCCTCAATAGCAGATACAATTCTGAGTTGATAGGGTTTTTTCCTTTAAATATGTCACTGTTGCCTTCTGGCTTGCATGGTTCATGAGAGAATCTCCTGTAGTTCTTATCTTCTTTCCTTTTGGGTAATATATATTTTTTAAATCTCTCTGGCTGCCTTCAAGATTTTTTGTCTTTGATTTCCAGCAGTTTGAATATGATATGCCTAGGCGTGATTTTTGGCAAGGGGAAGAAGGTCATCCTGCTTGGTGTTCTCTTAACTGCTTGGATCTGTGGTTTGGTGTCACAAATATTGGAAAATCTAGGCCATTATTTCCTCAAGTATTTCTTCCACCTCTTTATCTTCTTTGTTTATACAATATGTACCTCAGTCGATATTGTTCCACAGCACTTGGATTCTCTATACTGTATTTGTTCATTCTTCTCCTCTTTGCATTTGGAGTTAGAGATATTCACCTGTCTTCAAGCTTACTAAATTTTTTTTTTTTTTTTTTTTTTGAGACTAAGTCCTGCTCTGTTTCCCGGGCTAGAGTGCAGTGGCGTCATCATAGCTCACTGCAACCTCAAAGTGCTGGGCTCAAGCACTTCTCCTGAGTAGCTGGGACTACAGGCACACACCACCATAGCCAGCTAATTTTTCTGTTTGTTTTTAGTAGAGATGGGGTTTCAGTCTTGCTCAGGCTGGTCTTGAATTGCTGACCTCGAGCAATCCTGCCTCAGCCTCCCAGAGTGCTAGGATTATAGGCGTGAGCCACCTTGTCCAGCCTCACGTTAGCTATTTTTTTTTTTTTGTTCTTTATTTACGTTAGCTATTTTTAAATGGTCAATTTGGAAACATCTTCAGGATTCATGAGTCATGAAAATGTTAAATATTGGAATATATTTTAAAATTTGTTTAAACACTAAGAGTTATAAGAAAAATAATCATAACTTAAACTAATTATTTCTTCCATCAATCAATAAAGTTTTGGCATAGAAACAGATGATCTTATTTATATAGTAAGATACTGTCCCTATTAAAACAAGAAATGCCTCTGATTCATGCCTACTTCTTCATAATACAATGGGGAGTGGTTAATGAGGCCAAGTAAATGTAGGGTGAAGGATGATGGTTATAAGGGTACTGATCTACTGAAAGCAGTGTGAGATACAGGAGATAAAAACTGGCTGAGGAGAAAGGAATTACCACTATTTGTATTGGTTTACAGGGTTGTGGGGCAGAGACAGAACGCTGCTGCCAGCACTGTGCAATATTCCGTACTCAGTGGTTGACATTAACAAATATTAGGAAGCCTTCTGTTTCACATTTTTGAAAGTATGGAGCTGTTTTCTTTAAAAAAAAAACTTTCTTGGAATGTACTGAGAGATTTAAACAATTAGAAGAGAAATATTCAAGCTTGGGGGCATCATGCATATTTGTCTGTTTCCTGCTTCTGCCACTCTGGTTTCTGGACAGCAGGATCTCCGTGCTGTTTTCACTGCCCGCCGTCTTTCCCACTCGCCTCTCTTGGATCCAGTGTGACTTAGCTTCCTCAACGGTGATGGCAGTCTCTCAGCACTGCTGTTTAGTTGGGCCAGCGAAGGTAGTTGACTTTTTGTTTCATGATTGACACAGGGGCTGCCAAGCAATTAAATAAAGCAAGATTACAAGATGTTTGTAATGGCCGATATTAATTGCTTATTATGTGCTACCCTAAGATCTTCGCATGCATCGCCTCGTTTACTCCTTACCGTGGTCCTAGGAGGTAAACGTTAATTTCTGTATTTCACAGATGAAGAAAATTGTGCTTAGGAAGGTGAAGTAACTTGGCCCAAATCACTGTCAGCGAGTAGCAGGACTGATGGGTACCCTTGGCTGTTTGACCCTGTAGACCTCCTTCTTGAACAGTTATTTCCTCTCTGGGAAAATGCTAAGTTCCAGTAACTAATGTAATATAGAATAAATAGAATTTTGTGAGGGGATTTTATAATAAGAGAATGTGGTTACAGGTCTTACTTGCTCACACTAGTGCGTAATTGTCTTTTATACTGTTTCCCTAAAAACCATCTCTACTATAGTGTCAACTGAATATTTTTTTAATAAATTGAAGAACTAATTTTAAGACTAAATTGTAATATTTGCCTCATTTGACTTGAAATGCCCTGCCAACAACTTTACATTCTAGAGAGTATAACTAACACGTGGCCTGTATTAGACATTCAGAAAATGCTTACGGAATGGATTCTAACATAATGCTGCAGATGTCTTTAATTTAGAATGTTCTCCTAAGCTTTGCAAGACCTAATGGATATTGCCACAAAGCCTGACCTCACACCTTGCAAATGCAGGGTGTGGGGAAGGGAAAATAGTTTATAGACCAGTAATTACAAAAGATTTCAAATTACCACAGATCAGATAAAATTAATTTCTTTTTCCATTTTTACGCAACATAATTATTACATTGAGATAAACTGCTGCACTAATTATCTTCCCTGCCAAATTTAACTTCATAATCTCAGAAGCCAGTCTTAACTTGCTGGTAACCAGCTCTGGTTCCCATCCTCTACTGTGTTTATTTGATTTCACCAATATAGGCAGAAATATAAAGTGAGTGTCTTTAATCCAGTCTCTGAATCCAGGCATGGTTAGTAGTGACTTGTTTCTAAATCTTGAAGTCTGTAATTAGCTGTTTAAAAATGGATCAGTGGCTTTTTGCACTCTTGTTTCTTTGTGCCATTCTTAGTAGCATAAATGATGATTCCTTGTCTCGGGTTATATTCTGGGCAGTAAATGCCACGGAGTAGAAGACTGATTTGTTAATTATTTTGGACAGTCATAACTGGTGCTTACTGGAATCATGTTGGGTGGACGAGAGGTAGCTAGGAACGTAGAAATCCACTTTGCTCCATGTTTGTTGACTAGGATTTTTTAGTGATCGAAGACTGACAGAAATATTTCTACTGCTGCTTTTGGTTGTTGGTTTACCAGTGTGAAATGGTAAATTCAGGATTCTTGCTGTATGTCCCAGAGGCAACTGCTCACAGGACCCAGGCAGGTTAATTAAATGACTGGCGATGGCCAGACATCGGGTGACAGGGAGAGGTGCAGCCTGAACCGGAGAGCACAGACCCCACCTACACGGGGCCATTGCTGCTCCCCTCCAGCTTGTTACTGCCACAGGGGACTCAGAACCTGCTGTCATGATACCACACTTTTGAAAGGAGCTTGAAATCTGAACTTAATGTCAAAGTTTTCTTTTTTTTTTTTTTTTTAATGTTGGTAACTAATGTGAATTTTTAAAATTATGGGCCAGATCTGTGGACTGAACACAATCTACAGGCCACCGGTTTGTGACCTCTGGTGTACTCTGTGATAGAGAGTAGTAAGGTCCCCATGAGTATATGAGGAAGACGAGGGTTGTATCATCAGAGATTCATTCTGTTGTGCTAGAGTTGTTCTTTCTTCCACATAGTCCTAGGAGGGATCAATACATGTTTCTTAAAGTCCTAGTAACTTAGGGAGAACGAAGTATTGGCTCTTATCTCTGAAAAGCAACACAGGAGCCTTGGCAGGAAGAGCTCAGTATCTGATGTGGAGCCACTGGAAGTTCCCAGAGAATGGTGGACCAAACCCGCCAAGATTAGGACTATGTCCTCCTGTTTGGAAATGTCAAAATTCCTTGTAGGTAGAAGCAATTTTAGTGATCCTACACATATTTCATAGATTGCCCAAAAGTCTTGCCTAGATAATCCTTCATCATACATGGTAAATATTAAGAAAGAGAAGTTGCTACAAATCTAGTTGACCTACTGGAAAAAACAGTAATTCTGTTTACAACTTAGCAGCAGTCAGAAAGTAAATAAAGTTTGATTCAATATGTGGGTGAAACTTTGTCATTGTTTACTCTTTACAGGAGAAAGAACATTAATACATCATCCCAGCAAAGACTTCTTTTTGGTTTATTGCCTGTGTAAAGATCACTACTAATGTGCATTTTACTCCCATGAAAACTGAGAGGGCTGGTGATTATTAATGAGATCTGTTAAGGGAGATTAGTAACCTGATTTTATTGGATACAGATATTTTCATAGAAATGCTCAACACTAATGAATACATCAAAAACCATACTTTATTTTATGTATAGCAATACAATTTACATATTAAATAACACTATAATAGAATGATTTGATATAGTTTTAAACAGAAGAAAAAAGGGAAAAATTTCAGGTTACAAAACCCCTCCCCCCGAACAAATTAAAAAAAAAAAAATCACTTTTTCCAAACGGGTCAATGCGACGAATGTATTCAGTGACTAAATATGTCTAATTCCTATTGCACAAATGGTCAATGGAATTAAAATAAAACCCAATTTTCACAATCACTGCCTCAAAGAAATAACACATGTTGGATTCTTTTGGAATGCAAAGATGGTTCTTGCTACTTCAATACACAGAAAGTTGAATTCACATATCCACCACAGAAAGGAAAAAAAAAAAAAAAAACTATGACGGAGTTGAAACTAGAAAAAAATTAGCTTTATATGAAAATATAAAATTCTATGATTATATACCATAGATACAAAGTTCCCAGAAGATGCTTACCCAAGCAACAAAATATTTACAGTTTTAATGATTTTAGCTATTTCAAAACGAATTGAAAGAAACAGGAATCAACATGAAGGCTGAATTCTTTAGAAACAATGGCTGCTTGCTAGTTTCAAATGTTCTAACAAAAAAGGAGTCACTACCCCAAATGTTGGAGAGTTGCGACATTTTATAAAATTGACTGTCTCCTTTTCTGGAGATGTTTATTTCTTAAAACTCAAGATATTTTTCTTGAAATTAATTATCCTCTGTAGAAAATGCTTCCCTTTGCAAATATTTAACAAAAATACTAAAAACAGTTTAACAGCTAAGACAAAGTAGAGGCCAAATATTATTACAATTCCTTCCTATTTGTAGCATGCCTTCTTTCTAGAGATAAGTAAAGCCAATATTGTATGTTAAATGGCAACTAAGGGAAAGCGCAAGGGGTTAAGTGAAATTACAGCTGTTAAAAAAAAACAAAAAGCAGGCATTTCCCTTCATATAAAAAGTCACTGGCACCATTTGAACATAAATTTTAGAACATAGGAGTTGAAAATGCATTTTCCAGTATAACTGTTAAATTCTTAAGACAAACTACACTTTGATTATTTTTTCTTAAATTATGATGAGTTTGGGTTTCTTTTATTTTTTGCTTAGAATTAGTAATATGTATCTTTGGTAAATTGGTATCTATATTTTAATTTTAAATATAGTATATATGCATTTAAGAAAAAATCCGTAACAAGGCAGTTGTGCTGTGTCATTATAAAGTAAGGTTATTTATTGATTCCAATGTCTCACCCTGGGCTAAAAACTCCCAACATCCAGACCTTGAACACCATAAGCTTTCTTTGACGTCGCTGGACTCTCCTACTTGAAATGGACTCTAAGAGCTCCAAGGCATAAAAATGAGGAAAACTAATTAATCTTATTCTTCTTAAAATTCAGAAGTTAGCTTTTTCTTTTTTCTTTTTAAAGATGGTATTGTGGCTATTGGGTGCAAGAAAGAGTTCTCCAGATGGCAGCAAAGGGTCTTTTCTCTGATGTCCAGCATGGCCGTGTGGACAGGTCATTACAATTCGGTTTTGTATGATGTGTACATTATATTTACCTAGAGGTAAACTCCTACACAGAAACAGCTTGTTTTATAAAATAGCACACATGAATTTGCAGTAGCTATTGCCTTTCCCCTTGAGTACAAGTGGTGGTGACCTTGTCATGTACTTAGGCAGTGTGCTCATGTCTCAAAGCAAACACCATCTCTGAAACTCTGCATTCTGGAAAGACACAAGCACATTTTTCCTAATAACAAATTAACCATAGCGAGGATATACTCTGCTGAAAGCACAGAACTGCTGAATGTCACTGTCCTCAGTGAAGAATGTCTGGAGCGCTTTGGCAGAATGGGCAAACAGCAGTCGCTTGCAGTTCTGTAGACTTTGGTTCAAGCCCACCATAGACACAGATTGCTCTCAGAGAACTTCTAAACCATGCGTATTATATTTCTGTCCTATTTACTCGCTGTCTCATTCTTTTATAAATGATTGCGATGCCCACAGAATTGCACTGGAGGGTACGCGTCTCCATGAGTTGAGCCCTCTGCAGATGGCACAGAAGGGAACACTTGTTATTCATCTTCTAACCAATGTTTACTCTTAGTAAGCAAAAATTATTGAGCGAGGGACCATGAACCCTACATTGAACACTACTTTTGTACATCAGGCCAACACTGCCATCTACTAAAAAGAGTCAGCTCACATCAACACTCAGTACAACTAAAATAAACTACTTCATTGACTAAAAAACAAACAAACAAAAATCTAGTTCTTTCCTTCCCTGACTTCCTTCAGCGCCTGGCAGTTGTGCTCCTGTGTCCAGGCTTTGCTCATGCTCGGTGGAGCTTCCCGCAGCACCACGGAGCAGAAGGGCTGCAGAAGGTGTGTGCCATCTAGCACGCACATCAGCAGGCTCTGCTCACTTGAACACCTTGTCTCAAGACTGGCCTACACAGTTCTTGAAGCGCAGACTATTCCGGGTTGTTGAGTCTACGTGATAAAAAGCTGAAACATTTATTGATATGGCCTTTGCATTGAAACTATTGAACTTGGCCCGTAGACTCTCTCCTTAGCAACTTTGGTCCTCCAGCACCATGCTGACAAAGGTCATAGAAAGCCACCTCAAGGTAAATAGAACCTCAGTGTTGATCATAATTAGTGTTTAATGCCTACTCTGATAGTATGATAGCCAGTGTGGCCTTTCTGTTGAAATTTATTGACATAAGAAATAAAACCCTGTTCTTCTAACAGGCCCAGTTCTGGTGATGATTTTACTTCCGATAGAAGCCGCCCCTCAAGAGCAAACATGCAGTAGAAGAAACAGATTTCAGTAAGTAGCTTATTTTTTAATTTAAACAAACTCTACAGAAATTTCTTATTAATGCTCCTAATTTTCCCATTACGGTGAACAGGGTGAATTTGTTTCCAGAGGGTGAACCAGATCGCTTTCTTGGGCTCTCTAATGATTATTGGCATCTTTTACTGAAGTGTATCTGCCCTTGACACTAAACCACACAAAAGCATACAAAGCCGTCTCCCTCTACACTACCTGAAAACGTAGGTATCACCTTTTATGCAAGATTTTAATATTCTCCAAATCAGATTTATCCATGTGTGGGATTTTAGTTAGTCCCAAGACTTTTGCTTATATAGCATTTTCAGTTTAATCTTAAGTAGAAGAATATATATTGTTAAGGGATTTATTATGAAACATTTGGCAAAAAAGGAAAGGAAAGGAAAGATTAACTATATAGGTAGTTTTTATTAGATTGCTATATGACTAATAGGGGAATTTTTAGAGGACTAGTTTCAGAATTACACACCTGCAAAAATTTTCATTCTACCTACTGTAAGGTATGGTATTATAAACCCAGAAGCATTAACGGAGAGTAACTAAAGGGTCTCATAACTGAGTTTTGTAAAATGTTGCCATCTCTCTGTTGTAAAAGCCCTGGTTTTTAGGGTGTAGCTATTTCAGAGAGTCAAAATGGAAATAACACACACTGTCCACATAGCTACTGTGAAAGCTGTAATACAGAGTTATTTATTTTGACACAATTTTTTAAGCTGTGAATATAATTTTGTAACTAATAGGAGATGTTCACATGAAGCAACTCTTAAGCCTTCTAACTTTTTAATGGATCTTTTAACCATCATAAATGGAACTGTTTCAAGGCCACGGTGTTAACAGACCTCCTGAGTAGCTCCCAATAGCCTGCTCATCTGTAAAAGAAAACAGTGCCCATCCACTCCATTAAAATACAGAAGGCGCACAGTATTGAACAGTGCCTTAAGAAACGGGAGAGGAGGACCGAGGAGAAAAGCACAGCATTGCCTGCTAGTAGAATGCAGCTGCTTTAGCAATAATAATAATAATAATAATAGTAAAATCAAGATTCACTGTCATAACAAAGACCTTCACTGTACTCAACTAAAAAGTAGCATGTATGTTGTCATGGAATGTCACATCAGGGCTTGCTTTAGCATCAGATTATAGGCAGTAACACTGATCATATAGTGCAAACTAGGTCAAATTGCGTTTCACGGTGTGAAATGAACAGAGGTGCAAATGCTCAGTAGGATACCATTAAGACATAAAATGGCAAAAAATAAATATCAAAACTTTTATCAGTGTAAAAAAGTAACTGGGTTATTGTATAACCTAGAGTCTGGCAAAAAAGGCCTCAAAAAAGTTCTCAGTCTTCAGAAGTTTACAAATTGTAAGTGCCCTTTCAGGATTCCGGTCACACGAGCGACTCCATGCTCTCGGCAGGGTCTGACTCGTCTGCAATTAGAACAGCACCGTTTCTGTCCACTGTCATGGGGCCGTTTCCATTCTCTTTAGTGCTGACCAGGCTGAGCATTGCCTTATAGACAAATTGGTATTGTTCCTGAAAAACAAGAGGAAGACAGTTTGAGCCAAATGACAGCATAGTCATTTCATCTAAGGTGGAAATACCAATAAAAAAAGTAAGTGTGGAAAACATGCTGGAGAAACAGGAATAGCATAAATGGTATCTAAGAAAATTAAAAATAAAATGCCTTGCATCCTTTAGAATCATGACATACCTTCTTCATGTCCCTTTGATCTCTATTAGCTTGGAACCAATTTTCAATGTTGACAGTTGATAAGATAATGGAACATCCATGTCATGTAACTACAGAACGCTATTCTCTAAAGCGGGTTCTCAACCTCAGCACTGCTGACATTTCGGCCCAGACGATCCTGCGTTGTCGGGCCGTCCTGTGCACTGTAGGCCACTTAGTGGCACCTCTGGCCTCCACCCACTAGATGTCAGGGCAACCCTCTCTGTTCACGTTTGTGACGCCTGAAAAAGTGTCCCGACATGGCCAAATGTCCCCCAGGGGGCAAACCGCCCCCAGTTGAGAACTGCTGCTCTACGGTGTGAGTCTGAATTTCAGGTGGTGGCGGACAGGTTTCGCACATAAGCAAAGTACTTACAATGTCTGTGAACACCCCAGGCCTCATGAGATTGATCATTTTTGCAACCTGGAAAACATCCACAGCATTTTCATTCTCCAGCTGCTGGGACAGGGTGGTGAGGGCACATAGCGTCCCTGCTGACACTGCTCCATACCTGGGGGAGAGGAAAAAAAAGAGATGTGATTTCAGACTGACAAAGGGACTGAATGTGTTGGAATGAAATTGCCATCATGCATTTTCATAGAAACTAAGTAGATTGTATTGACGTCTCTTTTAGAAGACGAAAATGAATTAAACGCTGGACAAGAGAGGGATTTGGAAGCTGGCGTAAAGGTAAGATTTGTTTACGAATTTGAAATAGCCCAAACTGGTTCATCAGATGTTTAGCTTGATATCTATGATGAAATGAGAGGTTCAAAAGTAGACTTGGGAGAGCTATAGAAGATTTGGTATTAGGGATGAACTGGGTGGTAAATGAGGAAAAACAATATAAGAGAACCTTAACTATAGGTGATTGGACAGGTAGCCAGTGGCGAAAGGGCTCTGAATTTTTTTTCTTTTTTAGCAATCCTAAAGAGCTAAATTGAACTTACAAAATATGAAAAGGAAAAAAGTGGAAATATATGGCTCAAAAAGCAGTCACAGAATTTTCAAAGTTAGTTACATATTAAGTAATTATTTTTGGCATTGAAGTGGAACTTTCCAAATGAGACCACCTTCTATAGAGTCCTTGGAGAAATAAATATGGTTCTCTTTGCTTCACACAAAAAGGCTTAGAAGGGCAGTAGACTGTTTCATCAGGGCCAGGCTGGCAACTTCATTTTCATAGGAAACTGTGATGGCATATAGTTCTCATATTAGTGGTGAGAAAACGGATGGATTAAATGAATTGTTCAAGGTGGTATTGCTGATTGGTGGCAGAAATGAGACTAGACTTCCAATACCCTGTACCTACTGTTCTCTTAAAAATGAGTCAATATGGAGTTTCTGAATTCATTCTTATGTGAAATAAAAAAATGACATGTTCTGCATCTTTTTTTTTTTTTTTTTGAGACAGAGTCTCACTTTCTTGCCTAGGCTAGAGTGAGTGCCGTGGCGTCAGCCTAGCTCACAGCAACCTCAAACTCCTGGGCTCAAGCGATCCTGCTGCCTCAGCCTCCCGCGTAGCTGGGACTACAGGCATGCGCCACCATGCCCGGCTGATTTTTATATTATATATATCAGTTGGCCAATTAATTTCTTTCTATTTTTATGGTAGAGACGGGGTCTCGCTCAGGCTGGTTTTGAACTCCTGACCTTGAGCAATCCGCCCGCCTCGGCCTCCCAAAGTGCTAGGATTACAGGCGTGAGCCACCGCGCCCGGCCGTTCTGCATCTTTAATACAAGTAAGACCAAAGTCCTCCCTAACCCCCACCCCAACTTTAGAGCAAACCTCTCTAGAGGTAAAAATTGTTTGCACATTTAGATACAGCCTTCCAGGTTCCGGTATATCACAACATTTCAATCCAGCTCATCACTTCATCTGCCGCATGCATACCAGATTCACTCATTTCCCCTTGTTGGGCATTTAGCTTGTTTGTATCTTGTGCACGTTAGCACAGGTGCCATGAATACAAGCGCTGGGGTCACAGGTGTGCCCATTTGTAGTTTTAAAGACACTGCCATAGTTCTTTCCCCAGTGGATGTTACCTGTTCATACTCCTCCCAGCATGAGAATACTGGTTTCTCCTCCTCATTTTAAGTGCTTTTGCCAATCTGATGGGTGAAAGATTGTATGTTGCCACTGTTTTAATTTGTATTTCCTTGATTACCATGGAGGCTGAATATCTTTTTATGTTTATAGATCATCTGTATTTCCTTTACTGAAATTGCCTAATTAATATACTTTGGACACTTTTCTATCCAGGTTGTCTCTTTCAATGGATTTATAGGAGTTATTTTATAATATCTGTAGTACATGTGGCAGGCATTTTTTCCAATCTCTATTTCTCTTAACAATGTGGTCATTTTTGTTATAGTTTAGATGAAATCAAATTTACTAGTCTTTTATTTTTGGCTTTTTGAATCTTGTTTGAGAATGCTTTCTTAGCCTAGTATTTTAAAGATATTCTCCTACATTTTCTAGTTTAATTTTTTATATTATTCATCTCATTCTTATTCTTACTGTGATAAGTAAGGGGGGGTCTGATTTTAGTTATTTTTCTAAGAGATAACCAGTTGTCTGGCATTTTTAATTAAATAGCCTGATCTTTTCTTGTTGGCATGAGCCTCCCTTTTATCCTATACTAAATTTTCATATATGCAGGCCTGTTTCTGAACTCTATTTTGGCCCTACCCTGTATTCTGTTTTTTGTACCTCTCCACAATTGTTTCAATTCCTTGATAAGTCTTGATATCTGATAAAGTTTCTATAATAGTTTTGGGCCTTCATATTATTTTTAGTGTTTCAAACATATATTATTAATTTTCATTCTTTACTTATACACTCGTTTCCAAATATCTCTAACCCTACTCTGTCCTGTTTCATAGTAATTTTGAAGGCAGATTGTCAAGGAACACAAAAAAATTATTGGAATTTTGATTAGGTTGCATTGAATATATAGATGGATCTGAGGAAATTAACATCTTTTCAATCTGGAGTTTTTCTGTTCATGAACATGATGTCTTTTCTCCATTTATTCAGGTCTTTTATAGCTTTTAACTAGGTTTTACAGTTTTCTTCATAGTCTTTGCCAATTTCATTTTAGGTTAATTCCTAGGTCCTTTGGAGTTTCTATTACCCCTAAGAATGGCCTCTTCTTGTGACATTTTCTGTTTGGTTTCAGTTGATGTTTAGGAATGTACTGATTTACACATGGTGAACTTGTGCCTAGTCACACAGCAGAACCCTGTTTACGTTCTAACAGTCTGTGGATTCACCAGGTACTTGGCCACATCTTTATTTGCCAATATCTTTTGCTTTAACGGTGTTGGTTAGAACCCAAATAGTCTTATGTACTAGCACTGAAAACAGGTATCATGTCATTAATGGTCAAGCTTCTAAGTTCTCAAGAGTAAATGAAAATACTTGGTATACAGACTTCTGGTAAATAACATCAAGTTAAAGAGGATGCTTTCTGTTTTTAGTTTACTAAGAGTTTTCGTGGTCATGAATGGGTGTTACGCTATAGTATGCTTTCCAATAGCTATTGCTTTTTTTTTTTGAAATCACTTTAATAATGTCCTGAATTCACTCATAGATTTTTGGTAATATTTAGCCAGCTTTACATTACCAGGATAAATCTTAATTTTTTTTTTCATAATGTGTACTTCTTTTAATATAACGTACTGGGTTTATTAAATGGTATTTTATTTACATTTTTTGCATCCATATTAAAATAAGTAAGATTGGCCTATACTTTTCCATTCTGGTGCTAGCCTTGTTTGTTTACATTGAGGTTGCATTAAATCTTCTCTCTGTGTGTTATTGTTTAAATGTAGCCCTGGTCAGGACTAGTGGGCCCTAACAGTTGGAGAACTCATTCTTTAATTCAGTTCTTGGTAATCACTAACATGTGCTGTGCTCTTACTATGTGCCAAGTTCTCTTCTAGGTATTTTACATGCACCCATTTGATCCTCAGAATAACCCCATGATGTGGGTGCTATTATCATCTCCATTTGAGATTAAAGAAATATGATACATTAAGACAAAGTAACTGGCTACAATCTCATAGTGAGACTAGAGCTTACATTTGAGCTGATACATACAATATATAAGTGGCTCAAAGCAGAGATGTGTTCAATAAATGTTACTTTATGTTTTTATTTGGGCTTAAAGTTTATTAGTGTAAAGTTATAAATAGTCTCAAATGCTTATTTTATTTCCTTTAAAATATCTGCATTATTTTTAGCTTTAGATTATCAGAGATGTTAAACACAAAAGCCCAGCAGTACAGTATCCTTTAGGTAGCCTTCATTCAGTTACAACACTCATCAGCTCATGGCTGCTTTTGTTTCATCTCTCTTTCCTCCCCCATGTATTTTGAAGCAAATCCTAGGTATTTTATTCATAATTACTTTAGTATGACACCCTAAAAGATAAGGACTTAAAAATGGACATATTATCACACCTAAGCAAATTGACAATTCTCAGACATTTTTAACGTAACTGTAAATGGTAGATTTCTTCCTAAGATTAATGTATGCCATCTGAAATTTTTTTTATCTTCATTATATTTTCCAAAGTTGAACTTTTTATTACACTTTATTGCTTAAATTTTACTGTTTCCTTCCCCCACTTCATTACTGTTTGCTTTTGTCTTTTCATTCCTAGGATTTTTTATGGATTTATCTGGTTCTTTTTATGGCTTGAGTTGAAAGTTTGGTTTGTTTATTTTTAACCTTTTCTTTGACAAATATGGTTTAGGCTATAACATTTTTTTTTCTTTGAGTATAGTTTGGCTCCACTCTAGCAGGTTTTGAAATGCAGTACCTTCACCAAAGTATTTTGCAATTTCTGTTTTGATGACCTCCTTAACCCATGAATTATTTGTAAGCAGTTCTAAAGGTAAGGATTTTAGTTTCTAGGTGTAAGGATCCGGGATCTTACTTCATTGTTAGTTGCTAATATTAATGCACTGTAATCATTGAATGTGGCCTTATATTTGTTTGGGGGGAATATATTGGAATTCCATTTATGGTCAATTTATATAAATAAACCATTTGTGTTTAAAGAGACTATAGGTGTCTCCATACAATCTCTCTTCAGTGTAGAGTTCTCTACATCACAGTCAGATCCAGCTATTTAATTGTGGTATTCAAATCTTCTCTCTGCTGCTGTTAAAATGTATCCTGATCATTCAGTTTAATTATTCAATACTTGATTCAATTCTTAGAAAAAACTCAACTGTTATTTGTTCCTGTTTAACCTGTCTTTTGTCTTCTCGTGGATCACTTCTTAGACATACATTAGAACTTCTATAGCTGGCTTCCATATCCTAGTTTTATTTCAGCTTGGTCCATTTCTACTACTAGCCCATCTCTTAAAATTTTAATTTCACAAATTTTGTTATTTTTTCCATTCTTAGGCTCTAATTTGTTCCTGTTTCATAATACATGTTCTTAATTCATTTCGTAAAATTTACATTTTTTGCATCCATATAAGTAAGATTGGGCTATACTTTTCCATTCTGGTGCTAGCCTTGTTTGTTTACATTGAGGTTGCATTAAAGCTTCTCTCTGTGTGTTATTGTTTTTTTTTTGTTTGTTTGTTTTTTTTTTGAGACAGAGTCTCACTTTGTTGTCCAGGCTAGAGTGAGTGCCGTGGCGTCAGCCTAGCTCACAGCAACCTCAA